AAAAATTTTAAAAAGTTTACTTGCTGAACAATCCGTAGCATCTAAGGGCATTAAATCAAGCAATTGTGTTTTTAATTTTCTTTTTGACAAAAATTGTACAAGAATGCACATATTTTTTGTGTCCGTGATATCAGTACTTTCATCAAGTAGAATTGAAAATCGCTGCGATTGTAAATTACTAACAAGTTTTTCGGTTTCATGTTTTGCTACAACTTCTTTAATAACATTACTACACTTAGTACGACCCAGTGAAAGATCTTGTGCAATCTGAGAATCTTTGAAAACTTTTTTTAATAATGGAATTAAATGATCCACGATATTAATTGCAATATTGTGCTCTGCAAAAAAAGCTGCTATATTTATTTCCGCACTTTTAACGAGGTCTGTATGAGACATATCTGTCTCTTTATAATCGAGGCTTTGGTCTTTATCATTTAATTTAGCCATATGTTTGGCCGTCTGTGCATGCCGTTTTAAATCCGCTTTGCAGCATCTAATACTAATATTGCACAAGTTACATGTAGCTTTATTATCTATAGGATGTGGAGCCAACCATCCTTTAAACATATCATCATCTAGCCAACATTGTTTAAAATATCTTGCTTTCTTACTGGCTCCTATTTGAGAATCCATATTTAATTTATTAATACTAAATATAATAAATATATTAAATTGTACTTACCCCGGCATCAGCCTTAGCCTAACCTAGCACTAGCCTTCGAGCCCGCCAAAACATTGGTCTGTTACCAAGGTTACCCGGTCACATACGGCACTGCTTTCCCACGCATGCGTAAGAAAACGCGTCCCCGCTGGCATCACTGGCGCCGTTTGGCCCGCACCGGGGAATTCTTTCGCTGCGGACCGGCACGCCGGGTGTCGGCCGCGGATCACGTGTCGCGAGCGTGAGCAGCCTCCCGCGGGGAGGCTGGCGAGACCGACGGATCGCGAATTCGCCTCAGCGGAGGCCCCTTGCCTTTTCTGTTCTTTTCTTTCATCCGATACATTAAATAGCCTATGTTACTCTTTTAACCCGAGTCGAGTTTAATTTCGTGTGCTTGTCTAAGTGTGAGTGTGTCGCGCCCCGTCCCGCCGTCCCGTTCCCGCGGGCCCGTAACTACGGGACTCCGCCACTCTACCGACGGCGACGGTAGAGAGCAGCCGGCCCTGTTGCGTCGAGGAGGCTAACTCGCGGCGTTCACCAAGCGGATCGGCGCCGTTTCCACCCGGGGAGCTGGAGTATTTCGCGGCAAGTAATTGACGCCGCCCGCGAGCGCGTCTGGCGCCCAACTTGGCCGTTTGAGCGCCCGTTCCGGGGATCGGCCCGGAACGGCGACGGCCGCGTATCGTTAGCGTGAGCCGCCTCTTTCTGAGTCGCGCTTGGCGAAGGTAGAAAACGCGTGACAGCGTATAGCTGGGCCCATAACCTGTTAGCAGGGCGTATTGAAGAATACACTGAAGTACGCACGGCAGGATAGATTTATTGTACGTTACGAGACAAAGGTTAGATACGTAGTGAGTGAAAAAGGGCGCGGAGCCACAGTAGCCGTAGGCGATGAGTATAAAAATAACTAGATAGTGAATGTGATAGCGCTTCGAGCGCTCTAAGGTGATTGGACCGTGAACATAACACACATATAATAGACAATATAACCGCGAACATATAAAATACGGAAATTGTATATTCAACAGATTTAATATTATCCCAGTAAAAATTTTGTCGAATTCGATTATAAGTTTTAGTTATTCCTTTATGACCTCCAATTTTGGAAGAATGAGCCTCTTCAATTATGTCTTTCTGACTCTCGATTTCTGGGATTTTTACCACTCCATGACATATTATTAATTTGGTTGATGTTTCCAGTATTGATTGTTGAATTTGTTTAAAAATTTCTTCCCATGAGATATTATCTATTTCCTTTGATTTAGCAACATTTAATACTTTAATTGAATTTTCCTTTATTATTTTACGTAATTTAGTTCCAAATACTAATAATATTTCTGAGGTTATTTTGTCTTGAATATCATCCTTGCAAATAAAAATTAAATGAAATTTATTCTCCTTTTTAATTACTTTAAAGTTTCTTACTTGATTTTCTTTAATTTTAGGTATTAAGTTTCGTTTTTGAAGTTGTTTAGATCCCTCATCACAAGGTTTCCCGTCCTTTGTTAAAAGGTATTAATAATTTTCTTTTCTCATAAAAATTTGATCGCGACTGTTTATGGATACTAGATTTCTGTCCGCGTGTTTCCATCTGTTTTTCTGTTTCGTTAATTAGATCGTCTGAGTCAAGTTCGTTATATGTTTCGTCAATGTCTTTGTCACTGTCATCATCTTCTTCTTCTTCAAAATTAGCTTCTTCATCTTCTTCGTTCGAGTCTTCATCGGAGCTCAGGCTGTCTTGATCACCTTCTGGATTAGAATTATTTCCTCTTGTTTCATCTGTCAAAACTTCACGAATATCTGTACCTGAATTTTTCTCTTGACAAATTTCATCATAGTCATAATTTCCTGCTAAATTATTTATTATCTGTAAAAGATTAGGTGGTATTATTATTTGTAAATTAGAGGTATTAGCAATGTCATCATTATTATTATTGTTTAAATTTTCTGAGAGTAAAATTTCTGTCTCGAGTTGAATGTTCTGAATGTCATTTTCGGTTTCAGTTAATTGTGTTATAAGTAAAGATTCTGTTTCATTAGTTTTCTTGTTGATGTAGTGGAATATTGTGTATTTCAGCTTGAAATGTATGTTCATAAAATAGTGGTTCATTTAATTCTTTTCTAGTAAATGGTACGCTTTCTCCCTCTGAATTTTCTAAACTACGCATTTGAATTCCTGAAACTATTGGTTCTGGTTCTTCTATCATCATTCCTCTTCTTGGAGAGGCTAGTAAAGGTTTAGGATTTGCATTTCTTTCTCTTGACTCTTCATCTTCTGAGCATTCTTCAATTTCATCATAAGATGGATTTATTGGGTATATGTTTGTCGTAGGATTTCTTGATTGTGGGGGGCAGTCGGTAAGCGTTGTCCTTCGTGTTCTAGTAGTAGTTACTGGCCCTGCCGATAGTGCGAGAAAGCGCTTTAGAGAGAGAGAAAAGTTTTCCGTATATCCGTGTCTGCATTCATGTACAAGCAGATAGTAATAAAGGGACGTTACAATTTACCAGTATCGAGTTGGTTTTTCAAGTGACCTCACCATTGGTCCAATCGAGCCGGATTGAGATCGACAAGGTCAATCGAGGTGAAATACAGTCCATAATGTACGAACGATTACGGTCGAAGGAAGCAAGATTACTCTAGAAGACCGTTCGAGAAGGGTTATGGCGGACATCGCGAATCTTCGCAGGCGACGAGCAGCCATCAAGGCGAGGATGACGAGGCTCAAGTCAAAGGCCGAGCAAGTGCCGGAAGACAACGTGAGCAGAGAAGAGATAGAAACCTACCTTTCTAGGTTAGAGGAGATACAATGCGAGTTCGAAAATGTGCAAGACAAAATCAATGATACCGCGGAGGGAGAGCCCACTGACGCGGAGGCCTTTGAGGAGACAGTATTCGAAGAAAGGTATCTCGAGTTGAAAATCAAGATGAAGCGACGGTTAAATGCGTTGCCAGCACAACAAGGTGAGTCGCGTTCGACAACGAGTGACGAAATGCTGTCGAGTATGCTGTTGCAGCAGGGCGAGATCATACGGCAGATGAGTCAGCGAGGCGACGGGGTAACGACGAACAATGGTGACGCAATCGAAAGGTTGTTCGAGCAACAGACGCAGCTAATCCGCAGTATCGCAAGCGGAAGTGGCGCGACTAATCAAGAGTCGAGGGTGAAGCTGCCGGTGGTGAGGCTTCCAACGTTCGATGGCCGAGTGGAGGATTGGAAGCGATTTTCCGAGACATTCCAGTCAATGATTCATGCGAATGAAAGTATCCCGAACATTCAAAAGTTCCAGTATTTGGTTACGTCATTAAGTGGCACAGCGGCCAAGATAATTGAGGCAATCGAACTAACCGACGCGAATTATGTGATCGCGTGGGAGTTACTGAAGCGAAGATTCGACGATCCAAGAGCCATAAAAAAGAAGCATATCCAGTGCCTTTTTACGATGCCGAGGGTAGAAAAGGAATCAGCTGCCGCAATTCGAAGTTTGCTGGATTACACTTCGAAGCACTTGCGGGTGCTCAAATCCTTGAACCTGCCGACGGATTCCTGGAACGAGCTCGTGATTCATATGATGGAGGCGAAGCTGGATGCGACTACGCTACGAGCATGGGAGCAGAGTCCAACCGCGACGGATGCGACTCTAATAACTTTCAATGAGTTTCTGGAAAGAAGACGTCAAACATTAGAAAGAATGAAGCACGAAACAAGGAGGGGGTGCGCAAGGCCGAACCCGACAAACAAAAAACGAAGATTGGAGTTCGCGAGAAACACACGGCGTTGGCTAGCATCGCCGAAGCTGGGAAATGTTATCTGTGCCATGGAGACCATCTATTATATCGATGTGAAAAATTTTTGGCTTTGTCAATAGACGATCGAGTGAAGGAAGTCCGTCGGCTGAAACTTTGCATGAATTGTTTACGTCACAGGCACTTTGCGCAGGCATGCAAGATGGGATCGTGTCGTGAATGTTCGGAGAGGCACAATACATTGTGCCATCGCCCGGCGGCCGACGGAAGGGCTCCAGAAGAAGGCGGCAAGGTCGAGCAGACGGCTTCAGCCGCGAGCGACAAGACGAGCAGCAGCATAGGCACTCATCACGTGGCGAGAGATCCAACGAGGAAGCTAGTGCTCATGGCAACAGCACTGGTTAACGCAACGCATCCTAACGGAGACATCGTGCCACTACGTATCCTTTTAGATAGCGCTAGCGAGGCGCACTTTATTACTCAGGCGGCTTGCAATAGGTTAGGGGTAAGGCGCGATAAGGCTTTTGAGATGGTCACGGGAATTAACGGGAACGAAAGCATTGTAAATCAGTGTTGCGAGGTTGTAATTCGATCGAGATGTTCCGATGCGAGCGCAGTGGTTCGTGGGTTTGTAGTACCGAGGATCACTAAACATTTGCCTTCTGTGGAAATGAATCGAGACACGTTGCCTATTCCATCTAATGTAATGCTAGCTGATCCAGAATTTTTCAAACGGGGTCCGATTGACATGTTAATCGGGGCAGAATTCTTTTTCGCCTGGCTAGAAGCGGAAAGACTCGAGCTGGGAGCGAATCTTCCAGTGCTACAGAACACAAAATTCGGTTGGATAGTTGCGGGATCTTTTGCGTGCGCACCTACGGCGTTATTGATAGGTAGGCAAGATGCGGTTGCGACTTTGACGTGCTCGTTGGAACATTGCAAGACATTTGACCAGAGTATACGAAAGTTCTGGGAGCTTGAGAGCTCAGGAACAAACGGGATCACACCTCGATCGGAGGAAGTCTGCGAGAGTGACGAGTTTTTCAAGGAAACGACTACGCGCTCCGAGGATGGTCGATTTATAGTGCGCCTCCCGTTCAACGAGGATCCAGCGGCGTTAGGCGAGTCCAGGGAGGTTGCAAGGAGGCGATTGATGCAACTGGAGCGGCGTTTCAAGAACGACGAAACATTGCGTACCAGATACGTTGAGTTTATGCGAGATTATTTAGATATGGGACACATGTCGCCAGTAGTCGATACACAGCAAGCACCGGCTTGCCGGGTAACTTACTTACCCCACCACGGCGTAATTAAAGAAGCGAGTACGAGTACAAAACTCCGCGCGGTATTCGATGCGTCTAGTAAAACTAGCTCAGGAAAGTCACTTAATGATATTCTCCGTGCGGGGCCAGTAATCCAAGGTAGTTTACTTGAAATTATCGTTCGATTCCGATTTTACAACGTCGCCTTGACCGGGTACATTCGAAAAATGTACCGGCAGGTGCTCGTGCACCAAGACGACCGAGATTATCAGCGTATACTCTGGAGATTCGATGTAGACGAACCCGTTCAGGCTTTTCGTTTAAATACGGTTACCTATGGGCAGGTTAGTTCCACTTATTTAGCGACTAGGTATATACGAATTGGCTTTGGGGGCACAGCACAACTTTCCGATGGCATCGCGTGCATTAATGGAGCAGACGTATGTGGACGACGTATTGACCGGTGCGAGGAATATCGAGGATGCGGCGCTGTTGCAGGAGCAAATTTCTAAGATACTGCTGACCGGAGGATTCGAGACGCACAAGTGGTGCTCAAATCGTGCTGAGGCGCTGGAGCGGGTCCCGCCGAATCTGAGGGAGGTCAATTCCCATCTCTGTATAGGAAACAGCAACACCACCAAAACTCTTGGGATTGAGTGGAACCCACACGAAGATCAATTCCAATTTGTAGTCCATGGCATGAAGGCCGCCCGGACCAAACGAGAAATGTTGTCAGAAATTGCCAAGCTATTTGATCCTCTGGGCCTCATAGGGCCTGTATTAACTACTGCGAAACTTATCATGCAGGAGACATGGCGGATCGAATGTCTCGAAGTGGGACGAGCAGCTCCCAGCCTCGTTCGTAGAAAAATAGGAACAGTTCCGAAAGGACATGAATGCTACCGAGTACCTGACAGTTCCAAGAAGAGTTATTCCGTATGAGAGTGCCGGTGGAGTAAGCTTGCTGGGATTTTGTGACGCTTCAGAGAAGGCATATGGAGCGTGCCTGTACGTTCAAGCAAGGAACGAATTGGGAGCACTTTCGGTCAAACTATTATGTTCCAGGTCGAGAGTTGCACCGCTGAAACCGATGTCCATACCCCGATTGGAGCTGTGCGGTGCAGGGCTGCTTGCCAATTTAATCGCCAATGTTCAACGCAACCTAAATATACCTATCGAAGACGTGCGAGCTTGGACGGATTCCCAGGTCGCGCTGTGGTGGATACGCGGCAACGTGTCACGATGGAAACCCTTTGTAGCTAATCGGCGAAATCATCAAGTTGCTACCGGCGAAACATTGGAGCTACGTGAAAGGGACCGATAACCCAGCCGATATTATTTTCCTAGGCGCGACTCCGAGTCGTCTCAAAGATTTGGAGTTGTGGTGGTCCGGCCCTCCATGGCTGCAAGAGGATCTCATGCCAAGGGACGAGAGTTTTCAAGACGTTTGGCCTTCTGGCGAAATGGAGGCCGAAATTCAGGCGGAAACGCGTCCAAGCGTGCTGGTCTGTTCATTGCTCTTGGGTTGGAAAACTCAACTTTGCAAGACTTGATCGACAAGATTTCTTCGCTAACGAGGATCGAGCGCGTGCTTGCGTACTGTTTACGCTACGCATCTGATCTCCGAGGAGGTAGAGGCAAACGAAATCTTTCAGGGTTGTCTACGTCCGAGTTGCGAGCGGCTCACAATCTGCTCATTCGATATGCACAATCAGTGGAGTTCTCGGATGAAATTGAGGAGTTGCGGAAGGGTCGTGAATTGCAATCGAACAGCAAAATATTGCAGTTACACCCGTTTCCTGGACGATCAAATCATTCTCAGGGTGGGCGGCAGGCTTCATAATTCCCGTGAGGCATACTGCCGCAGGCATCCAATCATCTTACCGGCTGGAATCAGAATTTCAAAACTAATATTTGAGAGAGAGCATCTTCGGTTGCTGCACGCGGGTCAACAACAATTGCTGTTCTCTGTGAGGGAACGATACTGGCCGCTAAAGGGTCGTGATTTAGCTAGGAGGACGTGTCACGATTGCGTTCGTTGTGCGAAAGTCCAGCCACGGAAACTTTCGCAGATGATGGGGTCTCTGCCAAGCGATCGAGTGAACCCTAGTCGTCCATTCTCGGTAACCGGCGTGGATTTTGCTGGACCGATTACCACGCGTCAACAAGGGAGGAGGAAGAAAAACTTCCAAGTCTTACTGCGCATTGTTTGTTTGTTTCGCTACGAGGGCCGTTCATTTGGAGGCAGTGAACGAGCTGTCTTCTGCAGCCTTTCTGGCCACGCTACGTCGTTTTATAAGTCGGAGAGGGCGTCCGAGCAAGATCTACAGCGACAACGTGACCAATTTTGTCGGCGTCGATCGGGAATTAAAGGAGATGCGTCGATTCGTTCAAGCTCAAGTGGAAGGAAATACAGGAAGGGCGTTAGTCGAGGATGGAATCGAGTGGAAGTTTATATCCCCTTCTTCCCCGCACATGGGTGGTCTATGGGAGGCTGGGGTAAGGTCCTGCAAACATCACTTGAAATGCGTCATGGGCAACGTATTGTTTACGTTTGAGGAGCTCTCTACGGCACTGACACAGGTTGAGGCATGCCTTAATTCTAGGCCTTTGACACCCGTATCATCCGATCCTGCTGATCTCCAGCCGTTAACCCCGGCACATTTCTTGATAGGGGATTCGATGACTAGCATTCCGGATGTCGACATAACAGATATTCAAACCAATAGACTGGATCGCTGGCGTTTGGTGCAACGAGTACTACAGGACTTCTGGAAACGGTAAGCGGTGGAGTACGTCGCCGGCTTGCAGAGTCGAGGAAAGTGGAAGAAGAAGCAGAGTAATCTTCAAATCGGAGATTTAGTGATTATTCGCGATGAAATTCTTTCTTCTTTGAGATGGAAGTTAGGTCGGGTCGTGGAACTGTACCCGGGTCGCGATAGCTTGGTTCGCGTCGTAATGGTTCGAACCAAAAATGGTTGTTTTAAGCGAGCTATAACTAAATTGTGCAAGCTTCCGGTTCATTCGGACGAAGAGCAGAAAAATTAGAGCGTCTAATTTTGGTGGGCGGTATGTGGAGGGGCAGTCGGTAAGCGTTGTCCTTCGTGTTCTAGTAGTAGTTACTGGCCCTGCCGATAGTGCGAGAAAGCGCTTTAGAGAGAGAGAAAAGTTTTCCGTATATCCGTGTCTGCATTCATGTACAAGCAGATAGTAATAAAGGGACGTTACAATTTACCGGTATCGAGTTGGTTTTTCAAGTGACCTCACCATTGATAAAGCATCAGTATTTGCATTTATTTTACCCGGTTTATAAATTATTTCGTAATCATATTCGGCCAATTTAATTTTCCATCTAGCTAAACGTGAGGTTGGATCTTTTAATTTATGAAGCCAAGTTAATGGTTTATGATCAGTTACTAATTTAAATGTTTTTCCATAAAGGTAAGGTCTGAAATGTTGTACAGCGTATACAATTGCTAATAATTCTTTCTCTATTGTTGAGTAATTTTTCTCTGCATCATTTAACACTCGTGAGGCATAACTGATTGGTAAATCTTTTCCTATTTCTCCCTGACTCAATATTGCGCCTATTGCAGTTCCTGATGCGTCTGTTGTTAAAAGAAAATGTTTAGTAAAATCTGGATATTGTAATACTGGTTCTTGACAAAGTGCATTATTTAATATTTCAAAACTTTCCTGTTCTCTTTCTCCCCATTTAAAGTCAGCATCCCCTTTTAATAAATTTGTTAATGGTTTAGCTAATTTTGAAAATCCTTGAATAAATCTACGATAATATCCAGCTGGACCAAGAAATTGCTTCACATTTTTCGCATTTTTAGGAATTGGAAAATTTTGTACTGCTTCTACCTTTTTTGGATCTAGTCGTACGCCATCTTCGCTTATTATGTGTCCTAAATACATTACCTCCTTTCTTAAAAATTCACATTTTTCTGGTTGTAATTTTAAATTCGCTTGACGTAATCGTGCCATTAATTTTTTAAATTTTACACCATATTCCTTTAAGGAACTTGAAAATATTACCATATCGTCAATGAAAATAAAGGTATCTAAACCGGAAGTAAGTATATCCGTTGCTCTTTGGAAAGTTGAAGGTGCATTCTTTAGACCAAAAGGCATTCGTGTAAATTCGTAATGACCATGAGGTGTAGAAAAAGCTGTTTTATAGCTATCGTCTGGATGCATTTCTATCTGATGGAAACCTGAAGCAAGGTCAAAGACTGAAAAATATTTTGCGCCTCCCAGCTGATCAAGTATATCTGTTATAAATACAAAGTTAACAATAAATGGGCCAATAGGGTGACGAGCAAAATTCAATTTAATAAAATAATAATTAACATTTGGAATATATAAAAGTCGAATTGTCAGGGATTATGAAATTTTAAACAGACATAATTAATACAATTTTTTTGAAGTAAGCACGCAGTCTAATACAACTAACAGTAACAGGTACAGAGTCTAATAAATAATATGAAACACTTGAGTACAGAGTCTTATGTAAATTAAATAGAATACGCGATTGTACTTAGTCCTCTTCAGCGCGAATTAAAATTGTTAATATGGTGAGATTATTTCATCCTCCTGACCACTAGCTGATGATGTCTATGTTGCAATTTTGTAATCTTGTAAAGCATTGCCTAGTGTGAACAAGAAGGCAATAATTGAATAATTTGAGAAAGACAAAAAAGCCTTTCTCATCAGAGATGGGAGAAGAATTAATCTCGGTGAGCTCCGTCTATTGTCGCTTGTTAAAATAGACTGAGTCTATTTTAACAAGCGACAATAGACGGAGCTCACCGAGATTAATTCTTCTCCCATCTCTGTTGAGAAAGGCTTTTTTGTCTTTCTCAAATTATTCAATTATAGGTATGTCATTTACGGTTGGAATTTTGTGCTTTAAAATATTTGTGCTACTAAGTTTTTCTCCTGGTAAAATAAAACAATCTGAGTTTCTTTCAATTAGTCTTTCAACATGTAAGCGTTCTTCGGCATTTAAATGCTCTAATCTTAATGCTTGAATTAACTTTTCTTTTCTATCTTCTTGTTTGATATTTAAGCAAAATCTTGAATTTGAATTGGAATCTTCTAAGTTTAAAATTTGATTTTCATTTGAACTTGAATTGTGAATTGAACTTCCTAAGTAGTTCTGAGAGTTTGAGTTAGAATTGGAATTGGAATTTGAGTTTGTAATTGAATCACCTGACTGATTCGAATTTGCTTTTGAATTAGAATTCTCGTTCGAGGCTGAGTTTGTATTTGACTTTTGATTTGAGTTGAGTTTCTGCTAGAATTAAGGAATGAATTACCTAAGTAATCCGAGTTTGCATTTGAGTTTGGATTTGAATTTGAGGTTCTGCTAGAGTTAGAGAATGAATTACCTA